AGGAATATAGAGTTCTTTCAAAAATGTGAATTCCTTTGCATAGTGCCAAGCTCAGGGTATTAGTGAAGTCTGTGCAATTGTGTTTTTCAGATGATTGACATGGAAAAGGCAGTGATTGTGGTGAAGCTCGTCATTTAATGGTTTGCGCGATCTAAGACATTGGTGTGTGTGTGGGTGTTCTGATTATTCAGAGCGGCTACCTCATTTGAACCAGAGCCTCAGACTCAATAACTGTTCTGCTGCGACGTCTTTTGTGTCTGAATAATGATTCAGTTCTTCTTTAGCCTATTTCTTGTGGTACTGTACCGTGTGAATTTACCATGAGCATCAATAAAGTCTTATTTTATCTTGAATCAATAATACTCCGTTAAAAGATACTGAACAATTATTTATTATTTTAACAATCTGACAATGAAACGAGAATGAAATAAGACGCGAGAGTATAAAAAGTGCTGACACTTGTCTAATAATCGATTAGTCTGTTGACAGACAATCATCAGATAGTTTTAAGTCATTATTTAAAGCAAAAATGTAAAAACATTTCCTGGTTTCAGCTTCTAAAATGTGAATATTTGCTGGTTTTCCTAATTGAGTGTTAGAGCTGTGTGTGTTCCTGCGCCGTTTGTCCCGTTTCCTCTCTGTCCTCTCGAGCTCTGCCCAGGTGTGGCGCATATGATTGCTCGATGAGGTACAGCTGGCCTCAGAGTGAAGTGCTTAAAAGCTCCTGTGCCACCGTCAGAAGAGAGAGGCTTCTGGAGTGGGGACTGCGGTCTCGCTGTCTCTTTGTGTTGCTGTTGTGTTGCTGTTGTGTTGCTGTTGTGGTTTGACTTTGTTGTTTATGTGTCTTTATGTTAATAAATCCCATAGATTTGGTTGTTTTAAAGGTGTCTTTCTGTGGTTAATTTGAGTCAGTGGTGAAACGATGTTCAGCCTAAGGGCGGGGCGTAACATTGAGTATGATAGTAAATTTAATATCTAACCCGACAGAGCGCAGGGTGAGTGGAGGTGGAAACACAGTCAAAGTGGATGGACCCTTTCTTTTATTTTATTAATGTTATTATATGAATTTAATTATCTTTTTCTATGTGTGCAGCAATCATTAATTCTAAATAATAATTAGATGCAGCCATAAATATATATAATATAATAGAGGAATATATAATAACTTTTGGATTAGCAGTATTTAACAAATCACATAAGAAAACAGAGTATTTTATAAATTATTGGACTTAAATAAATATACAAATGGATGTTTTTGTCACCTTGGTGCCAGTCTGCTGGCTCGTCTGGATGGGGGCGCACTCTCTGGGAGCTGGAGGCCCGTGAGCCTGGACACCCTGGGCTGCAGGAGAGGGTGGATGGACATCGAGAGTAAACGCTTTACTCTCCACGACCAAGGCAGCTGTTGGCTCTGAAAATGGACAATGATGAGAGAGGTGATGATGATGATTATATTGCAGATCATAATAATTATGACAGTGGTGGTGAGGGTTAAGAGCGATGATGAAGTGGGCACAGTGATAATGGTTACAATAATTTGCTTTATTTGAATTGAAACTCACTGTTTTGTGTGTGCTGTTGGACAGCAGAGTCGTCTCCTCCTTTGGAGAGACTAGCAGCTGTGGGATCAGGCTGCTGCTGAGGCACAGAGACGCTGACACGCAGAGGGGAGCTGTGGACCGACGTGCTGACCGAGGACTGAGGCTGGGAAACAGACGACTGGACCTGGAGCTGGGGAGCTGAGGCCTGGACCTGCGGCTGAGGCTGGGAAACAGACGACTGGATGTGTACCTGGTTCTGGACAAATAAGGCCTGTGAGACCTGGAGCTGAGGAGGGAGCTGGTACTGGACTTGGGGCTCGATGCAAGGCTGGGGAGCTGTGATTTGGGGGACTGAACTCTCAGGTCCAGGCAGAGTAATGTGAGGCCCAGTCGGAGGGGAGAAACTGGTCGGAGCTGGTCTCTCTGCGTCCTGAATGGGAGGGGAGGAGCAGATCAGCGGTGTGTCCTCTGTGTCGGAGTGAAGCGGAGAAGTGTCAACACACTGGTCAGACATCCCGGTGCGGGTGTCCTGACCAGAGACTGCGTGGGTCGTTGGTTGGGTCTCTCTCTCACTGGCGACCGGGGAGGGCAGCGACTCCATCGGCACCACTGGCAGTGCTCCGACCAACAGTTCAGACGTGATAGGAGAACTAAGTGCTTGCTGTGGGGGAAATGATGGAGAGAGAATATGAACAACTGCTGTTACATCTTAAATAGGACGCAGTCAGCTAATCGTTGCATGCTCCTGCTTTTCTCTGCCTGTTCGCTGACTAATTTTCTCTACTGCAGTTTAATCTCCATTTTTATTTTAATTTGTTTAACTTTATTCCTCTTTATTGCATTTTAAAATGGTGTTCTAAAGCCATCTGTACAGCACTCTGCATCGACTCTTGAGTAACATCCACAGCAACATTTCTCATTAGTGGCTGGCAAACATTACATAGGCCTATATGAATGTAGAATATGACAGCTTAAATATCTCTATTTAAACGATTTTTCACCCATACAATGTTCATTGTAGTTAACTGTTTCACTCTCATGTCTTGTGGAGCTTTTGTTTACTACATTAATCACTGTGTTGTACTTCATAAGGGGACTTCATGCTGTCCTTTCACTGTTCTTCTGTCATTCCAGCTATTTTTGTTGCTGTAGTAATTCAGTTTTTACACCTGGTAACTCTTTTTCTATCACTACCATTGAATTTGTTGGGGGTTTTTCCAGTACCGTTTTCTTAGTTGTTTCCAGTAACAACTTTATATATCTTTTGTATTAAACCATTTTTTGGAAGTGTGTTTAACTCTGCTACATAGCTGTGCAACTAGCAGAGGGATCATATCATCATAATATGATTCCACTGAAAGTTAATAAACAATAATATTGAATTATCACCCCGCCCTATAACTAACACTAGAAACATTAGAAACACAAACATCGGTACATAAATGTAAACCAGAACAGGCATTTCAGCACTGAATAAGCAGAAATCTGCAGGAAGTTGTCGAGGCTCTGACCTGTTGCAGATGTTGCATAAAGGCCTCGTTCTGACTCATCGAGTGGGTCACCTCTTCCACTACTTGGGTCATGTCTGCCGGGGGCATCAAAAGTTTTGGGATCTCCACAGCTGGATCAGGGACCAGAGGTGGTTCAGGAGGAGGCTGCAGGACTGTAACTACAGGAGGAGAGGAGGACTGCAGCCCTGCAGAGGTGGGCTGCACCGACACATGCTGGAGAACATGTCCATAGGGCTACAGCGGGAGAAAAAGAGAGACATCAGAGCGAGTTCAAGTTAAATTCGGAAGAAGTATATTTGCACGTTTTAGCCATTTAACTACAAATCCAGTATATTCTTCATCGTATATTCCTGATCATTTGCAAATGCATGCTGTACAGTTTTAGATATTTGGCAGAATGTTCTACCATTACAGACATCTTCTGGTTTTCAGGTTTTCATTCATTTTCATGAGAGTATAAAAATAACTTATTGACACTGTAGTACGATGTAGTATCACACTAACACTAACTCCACAGTAAGACTGAGGCTGCAAAGGCAGCAGCGATATCCTGACTTTCAGTTCCTTGCATGCGTAAAGCTTTAGTAGATCCTAAACTTAATCTTTCCATTAAACCTTTCTCTCTTGTAAATGCCAGAAACTGCATGTTCACAGTTTGTTACACAAACTTTCTGTTAAATATTTTTCTCCAAGTCCAAGCCCAAATAGCTCTAGTAACATCATTAGGGTTATTTATTTTAAATTATCTCTCTCTTTCCCTCTAGAGCCACAGTACAACTGTTTTAACAGGCTGAGTAGTGATCCTTGTGATGAGTAAACTGAAGTGGAGGATTGAAGCGCCCCTTTAAAACGTCTGCACTGTGTGATCTTAGTACATTAATGTAATACTGACAGAAATGAATGCAGACCTTATGGCCTCATCATTTTAATGGATTTAACCTTCCAAGCAAATTTCATGAGTCTGATAACCATGGAAACCAATGTATACCTGCAACAAACAACTAAAACACAGCAGCATTGTTTGCTATCACAATGCTAAATAACATATAGTGTAATAGAGGATTTGATCCTTAAAGCCAGCTGAGACAGAGGTGGCAGCTCACCTGCGGTAGCTGGTGGAAAGTCTCCTCTGAGCTGGTCCTCTCCTCTTGAATGGCTCTTTCTGGCAGCAGCACCACAGAGGCCTGCTGGAGGCTCAGCTGTCCTTCTGTCACTCCTGTCTGAGGAGCCGGGGCTTGGGTAGCAAAAGGCAGCCCTTGAACTACTGAGGGGCCATTAACGATCGAGATGGAAGTGAGATCTGGGGGAAGCACCCCTGAACTGTTGATCAACGTAATGTGGTTTCCAAGAGCGGGACTGTGGACCAGGGTGGCACGCTGCCCCTGTCCTCCTGGAGTGTATGTTCCAGCCAGCTGAGCTGGCATCTGGAAGACAGTAGGGGGCGCTGACTGTAGCTGCAAAGGTCCTGAAAGCACAGTGGCCTGGCGGAGTGCTAGCTGCCCTGTAGGGGTGGTGAAGACAGGGCTGAAGTTCAGCTGTCTTTGGGGCACAGTTAGGATCTGAGAGCCGTCTACAAGCTGCCCAGTAGAGGGAGTCAGGCTGTGGACTGACGGGCCTTGGTGGCTGGTGGTCAGCAGCGGTCGAGCTGCACTGGCAGGCTGGGAGATCGTAACAGGGCACTGGCCTGGAAGAAGGAACTGGTTTTGGCCTTGGAAGAGTCCCTGAGGCTGGAGCACAAAGGAGCCGCCCTGGTTGACCAGCTGCAGGCTGACAGGTTTAGGGAGCTGCTGGTTGGGCTGCGGTGGTGGAGCTGCGGGCTTTTGGCCTGGAGGTTGGGAGAGTAAAATATTTGGTGAGGCAGTCCCAGGGACAAACGTAAGACCTGGAGGGTGTTTTTGTCCAGAAGGTTTGGGACTAATTTGAACCAGTCTGGGCTGAATGCTGATAGGCAGCTTGGGTTGGATGGGAAGAGGGGCACGCTGCAGGACGATGCCCGGTGCTGCTGCTGCTGTTGTTCTCAGGGTTGGGGTGATAAGAGGACGACTGGTCATACTGGGAACAGCCTTGTGGATGATCATACTCGATCCTTGGGCAGGACTCAGAGAGAAAGAGGTCTCTGGAGACGCAGCAGGGAACACATTTCCAGGCAGGAGCCCCATCAACTGAGGAGGGGCAGCAGGTTTTAGAGAAGGGCAGCCCGGCCCGACAGCCAGGAGGGAGGGCTGGGGGGGCTCCACTGCTGCCTGGGTATCTCTGGGCAACGCCGGGGTGACAGGTAAGGTCACAGATTTGGGTATGAATGGTACGGTGGTTGGAGACAGGAGAGGGGCAGGTGAGTACAGGGACAGGCTGTCCCCCGTTTGGGCCAGACCTGCCTCCAGAGCCATGGTCTGCTCTGTGATCTCAGCCTCCTGCAGGCTCTGCTGGAGAATATCACATGCCACCTCTGCCTCCTCCGCTTCCTCCAGTTGTCCCTTCTTAGCCTCAAATCCAGCCTCCACAGGTGTCCCACCCTGCACCACCTGTGGGTCTTCCCCACCCTCCGGCGATGACAGGAGGGCCTCCTCCAGGAAGGACAGATCCACACACCCAGGCGGAGGTGTGTCTGGAGAATCCCTGCCATCTCCCAGCAGAGAGACGGGGCTCTGGAGGAAGAAACAGTGGGAGACAGACAGAGAGGTACAGACAACAGGATCGTGGAGAGAGAGTGAAAAGGAGGAGAGAATTGTGTGATTAGCAGGAGTTAACAGGAAGCAGTTTCAGGCACAGAAGGAGACAAAAAAAATATCATTCTCTTGGGGAAAATGCTGGTTGTTTTTGACGCTTCTGGCTGTGTATCCAGACACTCACCGGGGCATCTGTGAAGAGGGAGGGCTCCCCAGAGGAGGAGTTAATGAGCAGGTCTTCAGTCTGCAGCTGGTGGGATGAAATCAGACGATTTTAGGTTGGGCTGGCAAAGTCGTGGTGAGAAATGCACGTAGTATTACATTACGACTCTCTATCACACTGTCAGCCCTCCTCCACACATCTCGCACAACCGTGTGCCAAGAAATATTCCCATCTCGGATTTATCATTTGCACTATTGATTTTCTTATTTGAGTCCCTCTCTATTTAAGACTCTTTTGTTACCTCATTGGTGCCATGAAGGAAGTCGTTCAGGGCTTGGGGGTCACTGCGGAGACGGAGAGAGAGTGCAGAGGTTCAAAATCACAATCAAGATCAATTGAAAGTTGGTGAACATTTAATGCAAACCAAACATTTTTCACATAATAATAAAAGTACGAGTTTAAAAGGACGTTCAACCACATTAAATCTTAAATAGCAAGCAATGAAAAAGCCCTGTTTAGTTTCATGTATTGCTTGTTTCTGATCATCTACAGGATCAATTTTATTCTATTGGATCCAAGTAAGACTTGACTCACCACAAAACATCAAGTAGACAAGTCCCATCTTCATCCTCCATGTCAACTAAGATGAATAGGAGGAGAAACGCAATGTGAACAACATCTAAATTACAGGGATGAAGAATCAATCAGCGAGTGCATTACACACATTTTTACTGTTATTATGGTTTAAAATTATGATTATTTTTATAATCTATTAATTTCTACATAATTTTTTACGTAGGAGTTATTACAGATGGTGGTTTAAACTCTCAGAATCAAATCAACAGCAAGGTCACAATTCACCATCTGAGAGATAAATAAGAAAAATAAGGAGGTTTTCTGTCCCAGTCATACAAGCCTCTGTCATGAGTAGGCTGCACATAATCACAATCTTCTATTTCGGGATCTTCTTCCTGCTAAAAATCACACGTAGCTCATTCAGAAAGCTGCTCAACGGTCGTAACCAGGACGAGGAAAAAAATCATTGTTCTTGTCGTCAGAAACCTCCACCGACCAACTGTCTGAGTTTAAGATCCTCCTGTTGGTGTACGAAGCTCCTCATGGCCTCCACAGCACACATCGGACTTTATCTTTATCTGAGTTCACAGACCTCTTAAATCCCAAGAAATCAGTCTTCATTGTCGTACACTAAAAAGCAACTTAAAAACCTTTTTATCTGGTTAAGAATTCCACTTGTGACTTACTGTTGCTCAGGTTTGTGCAATATACGCCGTTATTTCTGTTTTATTATCCTGTAAAGCATCCTTTACTGCTTTTGTTTGAAGTTGTGCACATTAATCGATTGTTTGATCAAGAAGAAGTCAGTAAATTGTGGAAGATGCCCATCAGAAGTTCCCAGAGCCCAGGCGGACATCTCTAAGATGCTTTTTGTGTCTGACCATCTATCCAAAATCCAAAGACATTCAGTTTACAAGGATATAAAACTGAGAGAAGTGAGAGATTTCTGAGAGGCTGGAAGGAGGCCTGGAAGCAAGCAACCATTGACTTAGGTGATTGACTGTTCAAATAAGTATTTGATTTATGGATCAATTGCTTTAACTGTTGTCCAAACAGTGGTTTCAGACCTTTTGGGGACCCTTAAAATAAGGTCATTTCTACCTGTGAGCACTTATCGCTGCTGGTGGGGGGCCTCAGTGTTAGACATGAGCTGTGAGAAGTTCAACCAAAAAGTCTCTTCAGGATTGTTTCACTTCAAGGATTTTTGAGGGGCAGAATAGTGAAAAGGTATACAGTATTATTTTGTATAACCACTCAAATTTAGGCATCCAGAACCAGAGGAATGGAAATATCTTTCA